TAATATTTATATTATAAATTTCGATGCATTATCGATCTGGAACAGAGCCTATAATTAAAACTTTCTCGAATTGCAACACAATTAGAAAATTTTGAATCAATGAACGAAGAACACAGGCATACGTTTAACCGAACTTTTCTTTATTACTGAGACATAGGCCGCGTTTTTCTTGTTTTTTTGTTTTGTTTTTTGCCAATAGAAGAATATCTTTACCGGCGGAAGGAGAACATATATTGCACAGTAGAGATCAAGATGGCGGATAGTAATAACTCGACTCAACGAAACAGAGAGGATGGATAAAAAGATAATTTTTTTTGTAGTTTTCAATGGATTACTATTATTCGTTTGTGGATGAGAAATATTATCCATTCTAATGTATATCATAGCAACCATCTTCAGTTCTTCTTATCTCAATGATCATAGAAACACACAAGAAAGTAAGAATCTTTCAGATTAACTGGTAACCTTTAATCGAAAAATTGTAATTCGTTAAGCTTGTCTTTATTTAAGCATAATTTTTGCAATAATAATAATAATTAGTAGGTAGGAGAGATTTCCCTTCACACTTATTCATTGACACAAGACAGTAATTGTCGCATTTTCATCCCTATTCTACGCGGAAGTGACGGCATAATATCCCAACAGAGAAGGAATCTAATAAAAGAAGCGGTTACCTTCTGCGCACCCAGATTGGCATGGTATTATAACAACACACGATGCAAACATTAGAGTGTTACCGAAAAATCTATCGAGTTGTGTTTTAATAGAGAAATTACATCCGAAGACAAGAAAGGTGGATATACCGTAGAAGTTCTGTAAAAATATAATGTTCTTCCTCGTCAACCACAATTTGAACTTATTTTTTATTAGTGAGAGAACAACTCCCATTTCTAAACTGCATATTAGGTAATATGGAAGTGTACTTTAATTACACAACTAATGTCGTCTGGAATTTGCAGAGCCATCTGCAATCCACAATTAGAAACTATCACAAGCAATGCGAAAAAAAAGTTTTATAACTTCAGAATAATGGCTGGAGACGGCTTAAATGG